TTTCAAACTTTTTAGGCTTGTATTTCCTCAAGTCAGTTGTTTCTTCCAACTTCGCGCCTGGACACCAAATAGTATGCATATGGCGATGCACACCAGAAAGTTTTCACTGTGTTTACCATAAGAGTACATGCAAATTTTAAGTCACTATAATTTTTCAAAAAATCCATGAATTGATTTAAAATTTTGCAGGTAGCTTTTTAATAGTAATAGGAACCTATAATAACAAATTCAACATGCTAGCATTATTTAAGTATACATCCCATACATACAGCCCATACATCCTCAATAGGCGGACGACTTTGTTGAATGCATCAGCGATTTAACGAGTCGCCGCTTTCAGTCGATAATTTCCTTGACTCAGAATTCTTAGACGTACACTGGATCCATACTGGTGGCTGTGAACCCGTACAAGGAGGTGGACTTCTACACTTACGTGAGTAAAAATCATTTTTACAATACGACAGTATATATTATAAAAATTGATACATAGTGATCTGCATAATTGGTCCGTATAATTTCTATGTTTGATTAAAACGGTAAGCGTTGTATCGTTGTTGCTAAAATGCGCGATTAGTTACGCACTTCCTGCATTAAACGCGAGCCGGAAGTGCCGTCAAGGAATAGTAAATATTAAACAGCGGCTGCCTGGAGGAACAGAAAAGGCTGCACGTGCCGGTCCCCAACCCTGCGCGACTAATAATTGACTTCTGCTTTTGTAGACGATTAAAAAGTTGGCCGCTGATATTATCACACTTCCATTACTTAAATTATCATCGCGGAGCAATTAAGCCTTTTAATTATCAGTATTATTCGTGATCGAATTTCTGACTCTATGCTATTTTTATTGAAACGGTATCGTACACATATAATTTTGTCCAGTCCGTTCTTAAATAATATGCGAAATGCGCGACGACAGGATGTATTTATCGTATTAGCATTGCTAGGCCTGAAAACAGGAAACGGAAGCGTCGACGTATATTCGCAGAGATATCGCGAAACGACCGATCCGCTCTTGCAGAATATTTCTGGGTCAGGGTACCCGCCACATTATCGGCAACTGCGGTGCGTGTTCGATTCGTTTTTTCAGCCGCGGAGATACTAATATCACTCTTTTCTTCCTTGCCATTATCTAAAACAAACACATTACGCGTTCCCCTTGTTATTATGACTACTGCCCTAAAATGTTTCGCTCCTAAAAAGCAACAGAGATAACGAAGAAAATCAGTAGCCTTTCAAACAGGATCTGTTTTCATGTTCGATAACGGCGCAGCACTTTTCCTCCTGTTTCAACGGGTGCGTCGTCGCTTTTAATCTCTATTTCGGTGCGCGCGAGGGGCAACCGGGTCTTAAAACCATCGGCGGCGGCGTTAACGCGCGTATCAGCCTCGGGTGAATTTATTAGGGTGTACGCGGGCTCCGAGGACTTATTTCGGGATCGAGTGGCAGCCACTTCGTGTACATAAATACGGGTCGCCGACGACGGTGAAACGGTCCTCGAACCGGGTACGACCCTTCGAGTGCGTCGCGCGTCGTGTGCCACGGGCGTTGTGCGGAGGAAAAAATGAAAGGGTTGCGCGATTAAATCGAATTAAAGCAATAAAAAAAAACCGGTGGCGGCCGCACAATAGAATTCGCTCCGAGTCAGCGGTTTAACCCTTTTCGCTTCGCCAGAGCTAATTCCCTTTTTATTTCTGAACTAGGTAACCGGAAACCGTAAATTCAGCAACAAAATATTTTAAATATTTGTGCTGGTTATTACGAAAATGATAAAATGGAAATTGGGATTCTTATCAAGTTTTATGCCACGTCGATTTGTGCTTCAATATCAGAGAAGAATTGTTAATGCAATTTGTTGGTTTACAACGATCGGTACACTTGTGACGTTTATTGTACCAAACAAAAGAATTATTCTTTTTGGAATGAATAGCTTGTTAGGTAATCCCTTTGAGACAGTCCCCTCTGTAATTTGGCGAAAAGAAACTTAGCAGAGTTTTTCTCTGTGTTTTAAATTCGACTGATTTCCGCGGGCGGTCTAGGTAATAGGTCCAACCCTAGAAAACCGTTTCGATGTGTACCTGTGTCTCCACTCCAATCGCGTTCCTTTGACTCTGTGAACTCTCGTTGCACATGCCAAGCGAGCCGCGTTTTAAAGAAGGCTTGACGTTTCAAACAAATCGCACTGTCAATTTAATTATCCGCCGTAGCTTTTAAGCGATTAATTAATCAACGAAAAACTTTCTATCGAGATAAAGGACCTTTTGCAATAGCCATACATTTCAGATATAGAAAGTTGAAATCTTTTAGAAATGTAAAAGGATAAAAAATTATAGGGATTGTAGAATTTGAAACCGATGAGCGATACAGTGGATACAGTAGATCAGTGAAGGTCAGCGGGGGTACCGAGCGAGGACCCCTGACTGGTAAGAAGGAAAAGTGTGGCTCGGTGTGGTGCACGCCCGCGTTATTGATCGGGCTGGAGCGCAACATCGGATTCGGAGACTCGTCGTGGTTGCCCTGGAGCCTTCGGAGCCTCGTCCTTTCCTCATGTCGAGGGTGTCCGGTACCCGTCTCGATTCACATGCAACGATTAACGACTTCTTCGAATAAAATTCACTCGCGAACGTAAAATAGAGTTTCGCAAATAGAAAGTATTCATAGATACGTTTATTCCCAGTGGGAGTGACGTGGAACCAGTCGATTAGCGCAGTTTCAGTTTTCCGAAATACAGTTTTATGAAATCCCTGTAGCACTGAGAAATACAGATTCTGTATAATTGCTGCGGACGGGTGGTCGAATAGTTTCCCAGGTAACACCCGAGCTTATTGTTTTCTAATCATCGGGAACTGTGCCCACTAATCCCTTCCTGTCGATCGTTAGCTTAACTGGAAGAGGAAACTTGGGAATACAGTTAGCCGGGTCTCAGCATGTAAGGATAATTTTGTGGTAATTGAATATCGGTCCTCTCCTCGGTGTCGTGCTTTGATTAACCGTCGACCATCGAGATAGAGATCTAATCGCGGCTGTAAGGCCAGCGTAATTTCCGTTCTCGCTTCTACCCTGATCTTCCCACTTTTTAGCACTACAATTTATTGATGGTTCTAGTGTTTCGTGTCAATAAAATGAATTATGGGCTGCGGATTTTCAATTTAGGAAATTAAATCTCGATAGCAATTTATTTCGCCTGTAGAAAATTAGAATACGCTTCTGATACCCCTCTTATACATTATATTTTTCTATAAAATCTTTGGCGTGATAATGGTTTAAGAAAGAATGCGATCGGATAGAAGAACGGTTCTTCTATCGTTCTCATAGCAGAACAAAAGAAACTGGAGCATCTCGATATTCCCTCGTCTCGTTGCACGGCCCATATCACCTATCTCTACGCGTAACGTATGCACAGGTGTATCCTTCTCTTCCAGCTCTCTTTCATCGCGTCGTTACGGACGATCGATACGACTGTGTTTCGACGTAATCAGTCGTGACAGTCAAAGAAGATCCAGGTATGCAAACATCGTCGTCGTCGTCGTTAAAGATGCAGACTGACCTGTCGGGAAACGGATCGGTCCATTCTCTCGGAGGAGCTTGTTCGTTTTACGTTTGAACAGCCGTGGTTTTGTTCGCTCGAGAAAACCGGGAGCGTTCCCCCTTTTTCTGGAGTGGTCTCGGCTCTTGGAAGAATAGCCCGTGATCACGTGACCGATGATTCGTTAGCTTTTCATGCAAATGGGAATGCTCCTTTCTCACCGTATCTTCTGCCTGTTAGGGAATTCAATTAGCAGAGTTTCTTCCTTTGTGCGCTTCGTGAATAGGTTTCCTTGATTTTTCAAACTTCAGCGAAGGACATGTTTTTTTTCCTATCGTTGAGGACGTTTCGAACTGTCCAGATTTGTAAACGGATGCTCGGGGTAAAATTTAAGACGCTGTGTTTCGTGTATAAGAAAAGAAAAACGTGATTCAACAATGAAAGCTACAAGCAGGGCTTAGTAATGGTGCAGGTATAGTCGTAAAGTAATATGAGAGGTCTTAGGAGTTTCCCGTTGGATCCCATTTGTTGACACTCCGTGATTGGCTACGTCGTAAATAACTCGGGGGAATTTTTATGGCCAGCTAGGAGAAGATATTATTAGTCGAGGAAAGTATATTGGAGGAAAATTGTATTTATTTTTGTAAGATTAGAATCTTGTATAGGAGCCGTACGCTTTGCTTCGATACTTTCCCTTGGTTAAAAGAATTTCTCGTGTGAGCATTCAGTATACGTGACGTTACTTGGCATAAAAGAGTATGGGAGAGAGTCGAGGGTATGTTTCAAAGGAGAAGATCTCGAAGAACGCAGGAGGGTTAACCAGTCTCGTTGAACTTCGCGCGAACGACCCAGAAAAGGGGGACGACGAGCTGCGGAAAACGGTTCTGTTTCCACCCTCACGCGGTGCAACCTCGTTTTCCACTCGGCTTTCGGCCGCGCGACCGGGCAACGACACCGCGGCGTCGGAGAAGAGGGGTCGTGAGCACGACCCCGGGTGTCCTGGCACGAGCCGTGGCCTCTACCCGACGAACCGTGCACTGATTTCGCAGTCGCAGCTGCAGCAATAAACGGGGACACGAGTTCATCCTCGCTCTCCCACGAATCGAAACAGTCGCGATGCGCACACCGCTTTTCTTTCTCCCCGAGTATTGTGCGAAAACTCGGAGCAGTCGTTTTGTCTTACCTCATGAATGAAGAGAATTTTCTAGAGGTGCGAGACGAATCTTTTAAATGAAATTTTGATCTGTTTCGCCGATTCCATTTATTGACGAAACTGGTGTTCCTGCAATCAGTTTTATCTTTTTCTCTGAGAGAGGATTCGCAGAGATTTCGCTCGCAATGTTATGGGACGTTTCAAAAATGCGTGCACTCAAGGGAATTGAACGCGGGCCGCGGGTAGAAATTATTGTGCACCGTAACATGCGCGTATAACCGGGACGTGGATTGCTTGGTAAATGTTGACTTTAGAGAGAATTAACTGGAATGAAAATCGTGGCCTGTGTTATTTAAAACGTCCTTCTTCCTGGGTCGCCTTGAATAATTCAAGTTCACCCTTTTGTCGTAATGGAAAAACCCAGCATGAATCGATGTTAAACAATGTTAACAATTTTTTATGATCATTAGAGAGTTTCCTGATGCATTAAAAACTAAAAAATATCCAGATGCTGGCGAATGGAATCGGGAGGCAAGGACGCGTTATCGGTTACTCTCGAACATTATCGTCGGGCGTGCTTAACCGAGAGATAAACTTGAACCGCAGCCTTAAAACGTCTGAGAAAATAAATGCCCTTCGGTAAAAATAGCAAACCGCAACGAATTCCAGGTGGCCGTTGTACAGAAGCAGGCGTGAACGTATCTTATCTGCTCCCTTCGAGGGATACATCCGGCACGGGTAGACACGAGTTCCCTTATCCGTGATTGTTTTGCTTTTTAAAGGCTACAATTTTACTTGGACCTTAAAACAATGTTTGAACAGCTCTTACCGCGTTATCGTAAATTTTTGTTCGGAAATTGCTTCGACGTTGCACAGCTGTTGCCAAAAATGAGAAATAGAACTGGCCATCCATCAGCTTCTGAACGAGCGCGATCTTTCAACATGCTGCACATTCATCTAGCGCTACGTGCGTGGGTGCAAACGTCTGCCGCATCAATTGAATATTAAACGCGTTCGTCATTTATGGAACAGTCGTATTTAATGCGATTGACGATTACAGATGTTATAGTTGATTAGCAATCGCGATTGAAGATTACATTTCTAATTCACCGAACGTACATATTTAATTTTTCGTTAAATAAATGATTGAATCATTGATAGAGCTAAATCGTGTACGAACATTTGTACTGGTCTAATATAATGATTTAGAAATTCAAACATTTGTAATAAGCGTTGTCAGGATTTTAATAAAGCCGACGGACGTTTCCTTGTTTCGATTTTCGGAATCGATCCTCAAAGATTGTCCTACATGGTCGTTAACATCCTGTCCAGCATACGTTAGCGGTTTTATGGAAATGGATCAAGCGTCTCGATGAATTTTCACGAGCCACGAGGGTTAGCGGATTAACGCTCTCGCTCGGAGTTGCGCAGAGGACCGACACGTCGCGTCTGGCACGAAACTGGGTTGCACTACTTCGGGCTCGGGACTAGCTGTAGCCGCGGACCCAGCTGCCGAGGTGCATAATGCACGGATCATAGGTGAACGGTTCGGGGTCAAAGTTCCCCTCGTTAAAAAAATTATAAAACTCGTGCAGTCAACTGTTTCAGTGAATTTTTTCTGTCTGAACCCGAGCCAGAAGTTGCAGGTTCCTTGCATGAATAAAAATTCCATTTTTAAATAGAGACTTTAACCGGATTTATGCACATATAATTAATGACGATATAAATTGAAATTAAGAGTGGGAATTGACCGTAAAAATTCCTCTCCTTTTGAACTAGTCATAAGAGCGTGAATGGTATTGACGAGAACTTAAGATTTGGAGAGCCTCGGTCATTTCACGGCGCCGGTCATATCGAGTGTGAAGAACTGGCGTTTGAAATCGAACCGTCGATGTACACGCAGACGGTTTCCCGAGAGGATCAGTAAATGAAAGGGTCCGAATGGAACTCGGTCGTGGAATGTCCTATCGAATGACGCTTGCAATTAATCGGGTTACCAGGTTCGTGGAGCCCACCTACCGACCGCCCTTAATTCGAATCTTCTATTGGATCATTGCTAGCCGCCGTCGCGTGTTCTAACCCGTAATTCGAGCTAATAGATCGTGCCGGCAAATAAAACAAATACTTGCTTTCGCATAAAAATATTTTCAAGACTATACTTAAATATTGCGAAATAATGCAGATACGAAATCGATTTTTATACCCTGTTGTTTCAAGTATTTTTATCAAAGGGGTGTTGTTCCTTTAATCTTCAGGAATACGTGAATCGATACCATGGACAGAAGATGGGTTCTTTGGAGCCGCATGTGTTCGCGTTGGCGGAAGCGGCGTACAGGTCTCTCCAGGACACAGAGAGCAATCAATCCTGCGTAATATCAGGCGAAAGCGGTGCGGGGAAAACCGAGACCACGAAATTCATCTTGCAGTACCTTTGCTCGGTGACCAGCAACGTTGACACGTGGGTGGAACAGCAAATTCTCGAGGCGAACACCATCCTCGAGGCTTTCGGTAATAATTAGTCCTCGTGTTAATAAGCAATTTTAGTCCGTTAATTGTGTTCTGCCACAGTTTATCGGCCGCGTCGAATTTTCGCTTACAAACTTTAGCCTGCGTATAACTACTACCCTTCGTGAAACCGACTTTAACTATACCTATCCAATTTTATCCGAATTTTAATCATGTCATTCATTAAATTTAATTACTAGCTTGATGCTTATTTTGCGATTAAGAATTTTGAATTATGAAGAGAGAAGAGTTCCGTGAGATTTCATTAAAAAAAAAAAGTAAGGGGAACCTTCTTTTTCGCAATGCTCGTATCGTTTGAGAATAGGGGAATGTAAACGGAAAGAGCTTTGTGAAACAGGTCGATGGACGTTATTCGTAATGGCATTTAAAAATAAAAGGGATTCATTACTCGGAGTCAAGAGGCCGAGAACGAGTCAGGTGTTAAATGGCGAGGGGTAAAAACTGGGTCACGAGAGGCAAAAGATTTAAGGGGGTGTCGTAAAAATTGTACCGTTTGCTTTTGTGCCTCGACAGTAAGCGCTACCAAACGCTTAGGAACTCCGCCGTCATTGTGAAAACGTTTCTCCACCGCCCCGTAATTCCGCCAATATTAAAACATCAGATCTTTCTCGTAGCGTTTCGCTGGAAAATAAACTTTTCGAATTTTTCTATGCGTCAGACACAATGACAAAAAATGAAACTGAATGTCTTTTGGGAAAAACAAAATAGGAAACGCGAAGACGGTGAGGAACGACAACAGCTCCCGGTTTGGAAAGTTCATGCAGGTGTGCTTCGACAGCAAGTGGATGATCAAGGGTTGCATCATCCAGGATTACCTGCTCGAGCAGAGTCGTATAACTTTCCAGAGCGGCGGCGAGAGGAATTACCACGTGTTCTATCAGCTAGTCGAGGCCGGGACCAGAGACAAGGAATTCGCGGAACAATACAAACTGATGCCAGCCAGTCATTACAAGTATTTGAATCAGTCGGGATGCGTGAAGATCGATGGAATATTCGACAGCAAGAAGCTCGACGCTCTCAGGCTTGCGTTCAACGTATTACAGGTAATCATCGGTTGTATACATTGAGTGGTATGCTCAACGCGATTACAGATTCTCCATATCAATAGGATATGTTTCAAACCTCTGTCTAATGTAATACATTAATGAAATGCGAAAGAACGTTGATTTTCCATCTCCCAATTAGTTCGGATGATTGACGTTCTCGCATAAATGACCATCTCGCATGAATGATATAATTGATTGAAAATGTTATCAATCGATTGTTGTATAAACCGCGCCGGTAACGAGTACTTATTTTATCCTTGCCAAATCGAGCCGCACTTTCGTTTTTATAGGTCGCGCCGGAAATGTGCGAGGGTATTTTCAGAGTCCTCTCCGCGATTCTCTGGTTGGGAAACTTAAGCTTCGAGGACGTGGACGGAGAGCGGTGCGAGTTAACTAAAGAGGACCTTGACATCGTGAACACGGTGGCTCCTTTGCTCGGGCTCCAGGTCGAGGATTTGACTAAGGTGGTGCTCATCAGACAGATAAATGTGCGAGGCAACATCACGGAGATACCGTTGAAGGTGCAGGAAGCCCGTGAAAATCGTCATGCGATGGCGAAGGCGTTGTACTCGCGGACGTTCGCCTGGCTGATCAATCACATAAACAATTGCACGAACCCTGGGCAAGACAGCTCGAGGTTTCTCGGCGTGTTGGACATATTCGGCTTCGAGAACTTCGCCGTCAACAGTTTCGAACAACTCTGCATCAATTACACGAACGAGAAGCTGCACAAGTTTTTCAATCACTACGTGTTCGCGTTGGAGCAAGAACTCGTAAGTCGTCTCCAGCAGCCATTCCTGTCTGTGTTCCCTATATACCTAATCGACTATGTGACACGATTGATTCTCGATAGGATGAAACACCTTGTTTGTTACGTAACCGATAGACTGAAATCAAATTGACCTCGATAAGGTGGTGAGGGTAACTTCGTAACTATATCGGCTCGTTCGTTTCATCGATAGTTTAATGATTAAAAAAAAATTGAAAAAATAGTTGATTAGGTGACGCTCGTCCTTCCATACCGTTTGCCGTAACACGTGGAACGCGTTTCGAATTTCAGTACCGACAGGAAGAGATCCAATACTCCCATATCACCTTCACGGACAACACCATGTGCCTGGAATTAATCGAGAAACCTCCACGATGTGTTCTTAAGTTACTCACCGAGCAGTGCCATATGCCGAAAGGTTCGGACCTGGCTTACCTGACCAATTTGCATGCCGAATTTGAGAGTCACCCGTGCTACGTGAAGGGCGACGATCGACGAAAATGGGAAACGGAGTTCGGCGTAAAACACTACGCAGGCTGCGTCACTTACACCGTCGAGGGATTCGTGGACAAGAACCGCGATGTGCAACAGGACGTGTTCTTCGACTTTATGTCCAGGAGCACGAACGAGTTCGTTCAAGAGATCACGGTCTATCAAGATCTCCTCGGGTGCACGGTGGCTCGCGCGAGCGGAAATGCGACCACCATGTCTCGCGGCACTTCGAAGGGCAAGCCGACCCTCTGCGATTCGTTCCGCCACCAGTTGCAAGCTCTGGTCGACGTTCTTCAAGCCACTACCCCGTGGTACGCGAGATGCATCAAACCTAACATGCAGAAGGTTGCGAATCACTACGACGAGAAACTGGTTTTGGATCAGCTGAAGTATTTGGGAATGTTGGACATAATACGAATCAGGAAGGAAGGTTTTCCCATACATATGCCGTTCAATGATTTCATAGCGAGATATCGTTGCCTGGACAAAGGACGGGTGTCGCGAATGCAGAACGAAAAAGATGCTGTCAGATGTTTGATCAGTAATCAAGGTATACCGGAGACCGAATGGCAGATAGGCAACAGCAAAGTGTTTCTGAGGAGTTACGTGCACGAGCCGTTAGAAGATTGTAGGAATCAGATGGTCACTAGTAATGCTATTATGATACAGAAAATATGGAGAGGGTTCATTGTTCGTCGAGGTAAGTAGTTCATTCTTTAATATTGGTCATTGATGAGAATTTATTTGTATTAGAATCGAATGATCTGTTTCCTCGTCTGTAGAATATAAACGCGTAAAGGAGGCTGCGTTAAAGGTGCAACACGCGTACCGAGGCTGGAAGCTGAGAATAATGTTCATTAGGAAACGACGAGCGGCTATCGTGATACAGAGTCATCTGCGCGGCGTGTTTGCGAGGGAGGTCGCGACAGCCTTGAGGGAAATGAGGCGAGTAGACGAGGAGATGAGGAAGAGGGAGAGAATGGAGGAGGAGAGAAGATTGATGGAGGACAAGAAAGCTCTGGAAGAAAGTCAAAGGTATAACGAAATAAGTATTTTTATAATCGTTCAATATCACGGGTACATGCTTAGTATACGAACTGCCGCGGGAATCTGAGGAGATCCATCGTTCGTTTGTGCGTTAATAGTGTTTCCGTTTGTGTCCTTTGTAGCGCACAGTACAACGGTATTGTCGGAATGGAAGCCGGGTAAGTTCGTCGGTAGTTCGAATAAGGAAGTAAAGAACCTCACAGCATGACAGTCACGAAATTATAATCGCTTTCAGCATAGATAAATGTATTTTTATAGCAATCCACATGCACAAGCACCTAACTAATTCTGTGCGCTTCGAGACTAATTGTACAAGATACTTGTGATTCGAAATCGATCGTCATTGTTAAATCATCGATCTCGAATATATCGAGTTAAGTTATGCGTATCAATGTTTCCTATCGTATGCTTAATTCCGTTTTGCAGAAAAGCGCAGGAGGAAATCGCGGCATTATCACAAATGGCAGAACAAATGAACTCGAAAATGGCTGCATCGGACTTGCAGTCCGTGGACTTGGACAATTTGTTCTCCTTCCTGTCTGACGTCCAGTCGACGAAGGGTAATCAGATAATAGAAGAAATCGGCGAGCAAATGGATGAACTGATAGAAGATCTTGACGTGGAACTAGAAACCGTGATCCAACAGGAGATAGAGAAGAATTCGAAAGCAGAGTCCAAAGCAAACACTCCTAATGGACAGGAAGCACCCGCACCTCCTCAGCAAGCATCGCAACAAAGAATACCTGGCGCGACCAGTGGAAAATTGGGTCAGCCGAGTCTTCCAGAGCCCACGGAGCCTCCCCCGCCTCCTCCGCCCCCTGCTACGAGTTTGACGATGAATGGTGACTCGTCTACCGACAACGGGGAGCCAATATACGAATCCGTTTTACCACGTGACGAGAGTAGTCCGAGCAGTCCGATTTTGGTGAATGGAAATTCCGGATCATTAGTCAACGGCGAATCCTGTGGCTCGCCTCCGCCAGTACCGAACAATAACGTGATAAAAGAACCGATAGCCGGAAGTCCACCTTCCAGACCAGAGTCCAGGAATTCGAATAGTCACCACTTGCATCATAATCATCATCAACCGGTGCCTCAACAGCAGCAGAATGGACACGATCAACCACAGCAACCGTCGCAACAGTCTCAACAGCCGCCAGTGGAAAGGGAACAGAGACGGAAATGCAGAGTGGAGCGTAAGCTTCAAGAACTGGAAGATAAAAAGGAGCCTGACAACGAGGTCACTTATCACGACATCGTAGAATTCGCGCAGAATTATTTCAACAGTCACGAGAGATCGCCGGAAGGTACGATAATGGCTACGCTTACCAGGAAATCTCGTGGGAAGAGCGTGGAGTATATTCCTAAGTACGAAATGGTGACTTATTACAAAGGATCCACTATACCGAATTCGCACATTCATATGTATGATCCTGATAACGTGAACGTGGCTTGTTCGGTCTTCAGAGACCTTTGCAAGTACATAAGAGGAGAGATGAAGCTGGACCAAGAGATAGCGACTATTCAGAGTATAATTGGGTACGGAATCGAGCGTGAAGAACTGAGGGACGAAATTTTCGTACAATGTATGAGACAAGCCACTAACAATCCCAATCCTGAGTGGGCTGAACGAGTGTGGCTATTGCTTTGTTTGGCAATCGTCGCTTTCCAGCCGAGCAAACTGCTCTATAAATACTTCGTGTCTTTTCTGAGGAAGAATTTGGCTCTCGAGGGAAAACTTCGTCAGTACGTACAATGGTGCGTGGACAATTGCAAAAACATGAAGGTTTCGTGTAGACAGCATCCGCCGTCGACGGTAGAGATCGCCGCGATGAGGCGATTAGGCACCATAGTTTGTCGGTTCTTCTTCCTGGATGGCAGAACGAAAGCGATCGATGTACATCCGACTGACACGGCCGCCGATGCTGTTGCCAAATTAGGTGAAAAATTAGGGCTTCGATCCCTGGAAGGCTGGGCGATCTACCAAAGCAGACCGGACGGCGAGGAACACGTTAGGGCACACGATTACCTGTACGACGTTATTGCTGCTTGGGAAATGAAACAGTGCAAGTTGAACACAGCGCAGTCGACCTTCTCAACGTTACGCCGTGGGAACAATGCCACTCTGGGAAGCGGTGATAATCGATTCGTGTTCAAACGGAGATTATTCCGAAACACACGCGAAATATCTCAGGATCCTGTCGAAGTTAACATGCTGTACGCTCAAGCCGTATATAATGTCGTCAAGTGCGATGACTTTCCAGTATCGGAAAAAGTGGCGCTTCAATTAGCAGGCTTGCAGGCGCAAGTCGCTCTGGGCGATCCGAAGGATAACGATCGTTTAGATTACTACAGCGAGGTAGACAGTTTCTTGCCTTATCGAATCAGTCGAGCCCGAGGAGACGATGTTTGGGTGCCGATAATAGCTCAGGCGCACAGACAGTACGGCGCCGGCCGCAAGGAACTCGCAGCCAAGGTGTTATACTTGTCTTGCGTGATGCAGTACCCTCTCTACGGTACGACTATGTTCAACGTTACTTATCGAGGCTATTGGTCTTACGGCAACCAGTTGATTTTGGGCATCAACTGCGACGGTTTGATGTTGATCAAACCGGACGACAAGTTTGTATTGTCAGAGTACCGTTATCAAGACGTGGAGAGCATCATGCTGGACCCGAGCGATTCTTTTATAACGTTGTCCCTTCTTCGGCATAATCCCGACAGCTCGCACAAGTGTTTCGTTTTCGAAACAGCGCAGAAGAACGAGATAGGTAGTCTGATTGTTAGTTACTGTCCGGCGTTGGCTGGCTGGATTACGGAGAACGAGGTTCCTACTAAAAAATTGAAGTGCATCACTAACGAAGATCGCATTAGACTTTATCACAACTTAGTTAATTGTCGACGAACGCTGGTAGATGCGGAGATATTGAGGAAGCCGCAAGACTCCGGGGGCGGTTTCTTGAGGAACACTTTGAGGAGATTGTCCAAGCACAGAATAGAGAAGCTCAGGCAGGAACACGGCAGCGCGACCGATCATGGTGAGACGTACAAAGGATTCCCGTACGCGTATTGGGCATTTAGCAGGCAAGCCGTGCCTCAGAGTCTGTCGAAACTGCCTGATCCCGACGAACAAGTTGCACTCAACGTGTTCCAATTAATTTTGACCTACGCCGGCTTAGGACAGAACGGTGACACCGTCCGCAGGGTAGAAGATGAACACGTAAACTTGATACAAACCGTGATGGAACGCTGCATAAGGAAGGAGAACCTGTTGGGTGAACTGTATCTTCAATTGATCAAACAGACTACCGATCATCCTGATCCCAACAGTCGGGTGAATCTCAGGCATTGGGCGTTACTATCTCTGGCCTGTTCGGTGATTTTACCCCCGCAGAAAGTAATACGGAAATACCTGATAGCGCACTTGAAACGGTGTGCCAGTGATTATGTTACTGAGGAAGGGAAATACGCGCGATTCGCTGAAAAGTGCCTTTACAAGACGCAAGGCACCAGGCGGAGGCAATGGCCGCCGAGCAGGGAGGAGATTATGTGCACGATAAATCGCAGGCCTATTTATGCGAGATTCCATTTCATGGATGGCCAGTACCACGCCGTCGAGTTCCATCCATCCGCCACAGCGAGGGACGTTATGGAGATTATCAAGACGAAGATTGGTCTGGAAGAAACCGCCATGGGTAAATAAAAATGAAACTGACTGAAAATTATCTTTTGTCAGTATTGTTATCTTTATACGACTTACATGTACATTTACGATTTAATTATTTATTTATAGGATACGCTATCTACGAGGTATTAGGACCGACCGAACGAGCTCTGATACCGGAAGAAAAGATCGCTGACGTAATGTCGAAATGGGAGCGTTACAGAACGGCGAACGCACAACAGAATCAAGCTCAGAGAAAACACGCACATCACTTCTTCCTATTTAAGAAACATTTGTTCCTCGATCAATATATGAATCTCGACGATCCAGTGGAGAAGGAGCTGCTATACCATCAAGTGTTGCACGATTTACGTGCCGACCGTTTCCCTATCACCGAGAAAGAAGCTGTGAGTAATTTCTTTCTCTGTTAAAAAAAAATACTGTAGATCGTTGCTTCGAATCGATGATCTTCTTCCAGATGATGCTAACAGCTTTGCAAGCTCAATTGGAGCTTGGCGATTGTGAAGATACCGTATCGGATCACGAATACCGAACTATATCGAGTCACTGCCTACCACCAAGACTGGTTCCGAATTTATGCATAGAAGGTGTACTTCAACACCATCAATCGTTACGAGGAATGTCGCCGCCCGAGGCGAAGAAGGCTTTCCTGAATCTAATTCAATCGTGGCCATTGCACAGAGCCACGATATTCGACGTGATGCAATCGTTTACTTCGAACTGGCCACGCGTTTTGTGGCTGGCCGTCGATCAGCAAGGTCTTCACCTTCTGGAACATCGTTCCAGGAACACACTCTGTACCTATGAATACAGTAGTATTCTCAGTTATAGCCCAGCTGTTAGTTGTTTGATGATTATTACTGGTACTGATAAGAAGCAGAGCAAAGTTATCCTTACGACATCCCAGGTAACTTAAGTTTCAAGTTTATTTAATAAAAGAGCTTTTCGGTTGGTCTAATTTAAAAATTAGAAAATATAGTAAAAATTATGTTTGATTTTATTTAGCAGTCATATTGTAGAAATCAAATTTTATTCTTAGTTTAATGTAACATCGTCCATGGAACGTAGATCCACCATACGACTCATTTTCTTTTCGAAATCGTCGACCAAATCTCTTATCAACTCTTCCGAGGGCGGATGTTCTGTCATAAAATACTTGCAACACGCAAATTTCGTTATCTCTATTGAGCCTTCGCTTTTATAATAAAATTCGACTATTTTCATCCTCTGCTCTCTGACAAATTTCTTGCACATCTTCAATTTCTGCTTTGGATCCATTGCCCTAAAGAAAGACGAGAGTCATTTCGTACATTGTAAACTACTACTACTAAAAATCAGTACGAGTGTCTTAGTTTATTTATTTTCAAATTGTCTTTTCGATTGCAGGCACATCAAATAGCGAATTTAATTCGCGAATATATGGACGTGCTCCAATCACCACCGGAGGTGCCGAAGAGAGAATCGGCGATAGCTCAGCAGATAGCACAGCAGCCTATCCAGCAACCACCAACCACCCTTTCGGCTACTGCCGGTGGTCGGAAATCGCGACCTGCTTCGGTATTACACAGAGGTGCTCCAGTGATACAATCGCAAGCTAGTTAAAAAGTTAGATAACTCATTAGGTATGATACCTCTCCTCAACCTGACACGTAAAATATTGCCTCTGTGCATTCAACATTAACGCTAGAATAAGTATACTTCACGTGAGTCTATATTACTTATTTGTTAATCGTTTTATATTTTCTCGACGAATTAATTTCTTATGATTACGTAATTAGTGTGAATTATGTGGTACAACTAGAATTGTCAGGTTGCGGTGAGAAAGTATCTATATAATTATTAATGCTTTATTGGCAAGGCCTACCAAGCGATGGATCACCGTCGTAACGAGAGAGGCACTAGCCTAGACATACTTCTTTCTTCCAGTATTTATTCTATTTAGCTTAAAGCTCGAGAGACGTCGAAGGGAGAAGCATCCGCGGAGAGGAAGAGAGTAATCTAACGAATAGATTAACTGATAACTGCCATTTTACAATTTCGAACGAGGGTTGTCAAAGAGTCATTGATTCCATTCTTTCCAGTTGCCATTATCGTTGCCTTATTTACGAGCGATCGTCGGTGTCTTTTATACAAGTCTTTTGCAAAGTATACAGTAACGAACAATCTTAATGATCATCGATACAATCCCGGCGTAAGTATTAAATTCGAAGTGTAGGTGTCTTTTGGCATATCATTTTTTGTATCGTTCGACGGGTGATTGCCGGACTTTTCGATATGACTTTATTTGACCAATATTTAGATTAAAAAAAAAGAACGACCAATTTATTGAATCCATATTTTGACTTCTTTCCTGATGTTAATCACTCGATTTAACGATACAACAATTATACATCATTCTATAAACGATATAAAGAATCCCTGATTCTACATATTGCAATCGACGTTTCAAAGTAATCTTGCGCAAAATTCAACTACAGTTATATACGTAATAATTATATTTAGATGCAATATTCCACATATGAAATTTTACTCAACGTATTAATAAGCGATTAATGTAAAGACAAACAGACAACTATAGCAAAGACAGATTTGTTTGATCCGTGTATTGGGCAGGTGAACGATCATTTAAATTTGATTTCGATCAGACAATCCTTTCGCGTTACTGTCCTTTGCATCATAAAATGAATAACCGCGAGTATAACAGGAAAAAGTAACGTTAAATCCAAAAATTGTTCCGCGCGATCGCATGGATCGAAATTGCGTCCAAAGAGATTTTCTTTTTCTAATCCCAAAGTCACTCGATATCTTGATATGTAAATAATAATAAGTAACGGGAAGATTCAAATTCAAATAACAATAGAAATCGTTCACAGGATTCTCCAGTGTTCTGCGATTGAATTTTCACGTAAATTAAAGATAAAGTTCACTTATATACACGTACGATATTATCTAATTGTACTTGAACCCTTTGAAACACGATCTTTCATAACGTAGTACGAGTCTAGCATAAAACGTTGACACTCTTTCGAATCTACTATTGTTCGAAGTTCGTAACGTAAATAGAAGCGCAGTTAGTTTTTTGCTAATATTACTCTTTTTGATAACGAGTACGTGCTCAACAGTTAATAAAAACGGGACGCAGCCAAGAAAGGGTCAATGCGTAAAGTGCGAAGTTCTTATCCTGAGAACACTGGAGCTCGTACAAAATACATAAATTAATTCGGACCAAGTTTGCGTTTCGTCCCGAAGGCTCGACTAACGAATCCTTTTGTACTCAATAATAACAGAAGACGAATTAGCAACATGGACACGAGCGCAAAACCGGAAGTACGAAACTCTTCCCGAATAAGTAAATCAACAGTAAATTATGCACGTGACATGTGTATTTAAGATTTACTCACGTGAATCGGAGCCTTCGTGGACGTTAACGTAATCTTTTGAATTCCACTTTTCAATTGCGATTTCCTTTCCGGAAGTTTGGCTTGTAAAGTTGTAAGATTCAACGAGTGCAGAGACAGACTGTGATCCGCTTCGGGTGTCCTTAGTCTTCGCGAGAGCTGTTTAACGAGTGAGACTTTGTCGTAACGTCGTAACTATGTAATTCGAACGAACAGGAGGTAAGACATGCGCATGTGAAATTGTTATGTGTGTGGGAATGACAGAGATAGCGAGATAATCAGGAGTCGAAGAAATGGTGAGTGTAAACATTGAATATAATGAAACGAAGATGTGATTTCGCGATGCATGCATGATATACTTAAGGGAAAAGGGGGGTCGAACAAGTACGCTGATTCCCATTATGTGTAGCTTAAGCGAAATAAATTATTGGTTGACGATGTTTTATTAAAATATTTAAGAATGAACGACACTCTGTATATACGTATGTATTAATAGACACGCATAGAAGATACGCACACACGAATCCGCGAATTACACCGACAATTACACACGACACTATTTACTTTATAATTTACAAAATACGCGTACAAATAAATGAAATGAAAATCACGGGGGGGATTAAACACGCCTAGACGCGATGTGGATATACATACGACTACGTAAAAGTATAAATATGAACATAAATATAAATATATAAATAAATATATATAAATATATATATATAGATTAATATACTCGAACTATGTATAAGGATACAATAAAAGAAAGCGAAGCTTTAATATTGCAAATATCGGAGATTCATTTACTCAGTCGTTAGAGTTGTCAGGGAAGACGGGTAGGATAGATAAATTAACAATACCAGTTTTTATTTATATACACATTTTTATTTATTATTTTGTACACAATAATCAGACAAATAACAGTACTTCGGCCCATTTTTGGTGTACTTATCACTGCCAAGGACCAGAGGTTGTACCTAATACGAGAGGTCGTTCTCCTTTTTTTACACTTTGCCAACAGAACGTAAAAGGAATTAAAGTTTAACGAATGTAAAGAAATGAGAATAACAAAAATGAAATTGTACCGGAACTAATAACACGATTCGGCGTGATCCTCGTGCACTTAATCTAATTTATTTCGAACCAAAGGAAAGTACGTCGAATCGTTTCGAAATTAATTTTTATATTTCCGACTCCTTTACGTAAACATACATCGAAAGAAACATCGAGTGCAAAGGATTCTTTTGCTTACCGTGCTATAACTATGTAGCCTCATACAGGACTCCCTGTTCGTCACAAAACACCGAAAGCGTTTTCATATAACGTTTATCCCTCTCGTCGAGCATCCTCGTGTACCTAGCGTGGACGAGAGGGGCAGATCATCGTCAACGGGACTGGTAATGTATTTCCGGCTGATTTGCACGAAAATTGACAACTTAATTGAACTTTTTAAGGACACACCCTATTTTTGATTCAATTAATTACTTTCGCGTACATACGTGTGCATATGTGTGTGTCGTTTACTTAAATCTGTCCACCTTCCTAAAGGTCCCTCGACATACAAATAGTAAAGTATCCCGTCGTAATATTTTAATGCATCAGAACAACGCGTGTTTAAATGCCGGTCGGTAATTATTTCCTCTACTACTTAAACTGTGGGAATGCTTCGATAACAAAATACAATAGAAAAAGATGAACGAAAATCGAGGGGAGTAACGTGGGTCTCGTGCAAACGCAAGTAAAATACATTCACAATCATTGGAATTAATAATATATGCGATACGCGCGCAATCAATTATTCATAGCTACGGAGCGTAACGACCGATTTTCCGGGTCGAATCGAGAATCAAAGATTCAGGATAATTAGCATAAACACACGAGAGTAGACCGAACGTCCAAACGGGAGACTTCGAACCAATAATTGAACAATGCTAATTTGTTTCACGCACGTGTCGCTGATAAATTATTTTAATTGCCATGGTAATATACATCAATTCCGAGTGGACTTGATCACGCTAATAATCGACGATAGCGATTTGTGCACATAAATCACCAGTTCGTAAGAAGCCAGTAACAAGCGACTCTTATTGAAATCGATGTATTACCGAGTTAATTAAAATTGTTCTTCTAAAAGAAAATATGCACCGCCCTCGTAATTGGACTCCTACCCCAATTTCTTAACGACGCCTCGATTCGAGCCGCTGCACCGGCAGAGATATATTAATATTCAGCACCAGATAACACTTCCGTAAATCACTATTTAAAATTCGCTACAATTAACAATATATAAATACGATCGAGAAATAAATAATGCTCATTTATTATAACGTTCGCTAATACAGATCTCTCCGCGCACTCGCAGGGTGGCCTAAGCGGTAACAGAACGCGTGCGAGTGTCGTAAATGTTTACTTCTCACGCTCTGCAACTAAACGCAATTCGAAACAATTTTGATTAGCAGCCAGAGACGTTCCTACGCGTGCGCTTCTCTATCACATTTATGAGACTTAGTATTTCTCGGCAACAATCACTGTGTCTTCAACATGGAAATATATGTAGGCTTAAAGTCAGGTAGAATTATTTAGCACGTTCAACGACGCAATGAATCTCGTTCGAAAAAAACGGCGACTGGACGTGTACGATTTCGATCGATGAAACTCATTCTCTGCCGCTTGTTCGATAAAATTTCACGATTACGCCTTTATCAAAATAACGACTATCTCTGGAGCGTCGTTGATAATCTCGACCATCGTTGCGTACCGCCACGCGTTCAAACGATTTATAATTCCATGGATCCTCCTTCTATCGAACATATCCATTCTCATCGCGATAAATATAATCTTGATAGTAACAAGTAAAGTAGTGTAACGTGTGTCATATCGGTTTATGAGGTATTAATTGTAACGCGAGAGCTGCACTTTCCATTTTCGATAACATCCGTGAAACGTAATTCGAAATGACTTCAGAATCACAAAATATACGTTCTGTACAGAGACGCTAACAAGACAATATAATATAATAATAACGTTTCGGTTTGTACAAGGTTTGTTCGATCCTCGATAATCGTGCATCATCGTTAAGCCTTGGTGGTTCTTTTTCTTAAACCGAAAGAATATCCCGTGAGAAACTCTCTGTAAAAACTGAGACACGATACGTTCGGCCAGCATGTGGGGTGCATATAAAAAAATAAACGTTCCTTCTCTAATTGTACGTTCGAACAGGTAGCGTGCATCGTGTTCCCCCTCGCGCGGTGTCATTGCAACGTGCAATTACAATACGAGGCGGTTACTCCGAACTCTGAACGCGCAGCATTGCAATTTATATTACATACATATACATATAAGCACGCACGCTTATCTTTAGAAATACGGTTCCGAAGAGAGCCGAACAAAATCTTTCGGGAAAAAAAGATAAAGAAAGAAGCACGTTTACGAAGAGACACGAAGTGGGTGAAAATTGTAATTGCAAGCGCCGGCTCGTGAAAATCGCAAGAAGGAAATACATACTACGAGATATAGCGGTACACGGGGTAACGAAAAACGGTCTCGCAAAGATTCTACGATAACGACAACGATACGCTAACATATACATATACAAATAGAGATACACGCACGCTATGAAAATTCAACAACGCCTCCTTTAAATACAATTAATTATAACACAGCGATCGCTCCCACAACGCGCGAATGAAATTCTTCATGTCCCGTTGTTTCATTTTCACATCTCTCTCTCTCTCTCTCTCTCTCTCTCTTTTCGATTGTACGGACGGTTGCTTTCGTCGGAGAATAAAACTCTCGATTTTACATGTGTGTATGTGTGTGTGCGTGTGTATGTACGCATGTACGTGTTTTGTGTGCACGCATTTTTGAAGAAAGAGTACACGGAAATCAGTTTCCAGCCCTCGACTGGTTCGCTTGTTCGTTTGTGCTAACGGACCTTTTGTGCCACTGCGAGTCGACCAGTTCAGCTAAAAAGGGGCCCCCGCGTTTTGTTTAATTAACCATTCAGTGATTGAAACACAGAAACCGTTCTCTCATTCTGTCGAAATTAAAGACTTCCATCGTCGGACGCACGATTTACAGAACGCTTACGCTTACGCATTCAAAACAAAATTTGCCCAAGCGATATTCGATCATAGAGCTAATGGCACTCAATCTAGGTGAAATTCTACCAGCGATTGCTGGCGGCCTGGTGATCTGGATCTTCGTCTCGCATAAGTTTTCTACATCGCGTTCCTAAACTATTGTACGTTATATTCACACAATTTTACAATTCTATTATTATTAATAGACGTAGTGTTGCCGATATAAAGTTACATCATTGTGATCGACAGATATGGCGATTGCTTAAACACACACAGAAGAGGATCTTCCCGTAGCAGCTTGCTTCTGAACGAAGGCTTCCCCAAAGCATGTTGCCCTTTCCCTTCCATTAGAATAACTTTCCCCGACACTTTGCATCGTCCACGTAGTTCTATTTCCTGGTATCGTCTTTCTTCTAACGCTCTCTTCTTCTCTTTTTAACTGATTTGTTTTTTGTACGTCTGCCCAGTATTATATCTTTCAGACCCAGGATAAAATCCACTATATGTTCGTTCGTTTTCAGCGACGTTGGTCCCTTTTGTTTTATGTTCTCTTATGTAAGATCTCTTCGCCGTTTCGCGCAATTCTGCTGAAAGGTCGTCGTGAAGCAAACCAAGATCGTTGAAACGGAAAGAAAAATGACGGATTTTAACACAGGTCTGAATAAATATAAAATATGCGACATAGCTCTAAAATGTTACTTCGTATTTATAATACGTATATATATTTATAAATATATCATCGTATTTATATATATATAATATATCTATTCGTTCAACTAATATATATTTATAAATATATACATTCCTATTTTTTTAGTTCTTCATATATATAATTTGCATACTTATATATATATCCGCGTGTGTATATATACATATACACATATCATTTTTCTTTTATAAATAATTATACTCTAAAAACGGAAAGTACCACGGTTTGTAGACATGTGTGATTCTACTTAAAACTCTATATTGCAATAATATTTCATTTCTTTTTTATCATATATAATTTAATATATATATATATATTTATAACATTGTATATATATATAGCGTTATACTCTCTATTTACGTACATTAATTTTTTCCACACGTTCTCGGTGGAACGAAACAAAAATATAGACAAGAAATATGTACGGATTCTTGCTACTTGTTACCTTGCATTGCGAACGACTCTCGCTCTTTTAACGGAACGTATCACACGACCAGCGTAGAACCGAAACCGGGTGTCATAAAAGAACAAAAAAACAGAAGGAACGTATCCGACGGTAACGAGAGAATTGTTCTCCTTCCCTATTAACACGATTGACTAGCGATTACTAAAATCTCACGTAAATTAAGTTGGATCCTTTTAATGGGAACACTATTCGCTTTCTCTTCCATCCCCTTAGTTTTACCCTCATTTCCCTGCAGAACTGTTGGCGATAATCTTCTCGAGAATCGAAAGAAACTGAATTGAAACATCGAACAACAATTTATGTTAAACGTAACATAAGCTCGTTTCCACTCAATTTATAAGAGAAATTAATCCTTAAACATAGAATTTCTGACGCAAATCTCATTCAACTCTTCAATCTGCAAAGATACCTGACTTTGTACCTTTATCACGATAAAAAAATACGAACTACACCGAGCACGAAATCGGTAACGTGCGCAGAATGTACAAATTAAGTAGAAAAAAAGATTCAACTCCATTGCTGCGTAAATACAAAAAGACGTAATTAAGTATGAATAAAAAAAAAAAATGTCTGAAAAAGAAACACGATACGCTTAACGAGAAACTAAAAAAATATATACATATTTCGCTAAACTAGCAATCTTAACATTCAATTTACTAACGCGGCGCATACGTCGACGATGCTTGTACGAAATTAAAAATAATAATTTCATCGTATATAAATACTGTGAAACAATATAACGGAACGTTATAAGTTTTTTTGAAATACACAACGTAATATACAACTGAGAAGAAAGTTCCATATTTGTCAGCTCTCGATGATCGTTGCAACAATATGGATAATAAACCATAGTTCTGTATAACGATTTTGATTCTCGTTCCTTGCTCTCGGCAAAGCGTGATGCAATTTAAACTCTGAATACTCAATTACAACAAATATTATTTTTTGCTTGAATCTCGACGGATCAGAATTACTGACCGGCACGATTTTTATGCGCTTTACTTTCTACGTAGCCGCGAAGCCGAAAGAAACCTTTGGATAACCGATCAGCATATCGATGTGTTTAGGACGGCAATCGTTGCGTTCTCTGTTTATCAAACAATTCCAACGTGCATCGAGAATCGATCTGACAAAAAACGAGTACAACCGAACGAGATAAATAGCCATAAATTATTCAAGAAGCATCGGAAGATTGAGAAAGATTAGAATAAAAAATCGAAAATCGCCTTACGCTGTAATACATAAAATATTCAACCCTTCCTCTTTGAACAATCATTGTTACGCGATCATTTTAGACGTAACGATAAGTACAATGATCTCCTAAAATTTTGAAGGGATTTCTTTTCAGATCGCACGTAAATGCGGTATAAGCGGCTGACGTTTATGCAGTCGCATCTAACTCATTTTATTTTGGCCGCGTGTAAATGGACCGGCACATACACATAGCCCTTAGCTTTAGCTTGCAATTAGTGGTAAACAACGAGCAATGCATGTGCATACGTGAGATCCGTCCATGCGCCTGCGCTAGGTGGTCGCTAACGAGAGCCTGAAGTTAGCCCCTTCAAAATTTTAGAAGTTGCAAACGGTGTAGCGTGTAACACGTGTTGCTACATAATTTTGTGTTCAAATAACGCACGGAACCGTCTTTTCGTTAAAGCGTAGGCCGGACTAAGTCGGCCATCCTTGTCAATTCAGAACATAACATCGTCACGTCGAGCCAAGACCCGGTATTTCGTTACACATTCTCGTCCTGACTAGATTTACGATAAGCGCACAGACGCGAACGCGTCGATCCTCTTCACATTTCCTCCTTAATCTCTCTCGCGAATCGGTACTGAACGATAAAAATGATCGAATTCTGAATGGTGAAAAGTGAAATTTAGTGCGCTTGAACCGAACAAAGATACAGAGCACTCAGAATTTTAGTACACGGAGAACTCTTGACTCTTGGACACATCGATAAGATGCTATAATCGCTGATCGGTAATTATTGCTATGTAAGCAAAAGCTGTAAAAAGATACGATCAGCTACGCTCGTACGGTAATAATCGTCGTCGCCCCAGGCGTCGACGAATTTTGAGAAAGATTACGGCGCCGTTTACGAGTAATCGGCATGGTGCTCATACACAGTATACTAATTCTCCTTGCACATTATGATTACAGAGTAAATGCGACGATGACACGAGACATGCCGTGGCACGGAGCATCGTTTCGACAGTTGGATTCGACGCGGCATCCAGATTCGAAGGTATGTGAATTCTCTTTTTTTCTTGTTTTCTCTCGACTTTTCTTCGATGAGTCTAAAGTCTACGGACATATAAATGTATGAGTATGACACGACGACTATGAATCACGACACCGACGCCGCGTCTGATTTTTGCAACGGCGTTTCCGTCGCGAAGCAGACGCAGCAAGATATTTTTCGGTGCCTCTTTTTTTTTCAACTTTCTCCTTTGTCAATTTCATTACTCGCTAGAACGTATTATTACTGACTAATCGTTAAGCTATCGATAACTCGTCACCAATTAAATCTTGAACGCTATCGACGATAACTGGTGAAGTTTACACCGAAAATTCGAAGTAAGATTTTCATTTCCATATTTCGATCTAAATTACGAAATCCTCGGTATAAACTAGACGACACGGAACGCTGCTTAAGATATTACAGAGAATTTTTTTGTTCGTTCTAATCGGAAGTTTATTCTTCTCGCTTAACGCTAAAGAGCTTTCAGCTTTTCCTCTAATTTAAGTACGCTTCAAGCTTTTAAAGACACCTAACTAGAGACAACACGTACGTATTTTTAAATTTGCGTCAATCGACTGCTAAGTCGATCTAGTTTTTAGTACTCTTTTGGGGGGTATGCTCATTGTTATCTGTGCGTTTCAACACGCACGCTTCAGTGTAATGTGTGTGTTCGTGTTTGGTAAAAGGTTCGACGCACGCAGGAACACCGGAGAGTCACGTTCAATTGAAGGAGCTTTGGCGTTTCAATCTTCGGCGTTCCTGATCGCGAGCCTCGTTTGTCAATTGCAATTTAAAATAAGTTAAACTTATACGTGTACACACACACATATATGTATATATATATATATGTATATATATATATATATTTTATCTTGAAGATCTATTAACTTAAACGGGTCTCCACCAGCGGAGACCGCGTTATCGTTTAAAATTTAATATTACGTAAACATCATGGTCAGATCGTAACCTGCTCGATCTAAATCGGTAATTCTCTTATATACTCTTCTGTATATTTTCTCTGTTTTTTTGTCGTTTCTTCGATTTATATTAATTCTGAACAGCCTCGAGCTGCTCCTTTGGGTAAAGCTCGACGAAAATTTCAGGCCGTTTCGAGATCTTGTTTCGTCAGACGGCTACGCACTTATTCTCTTTCGTCTCTATTCCTCGTATACAGACTCGACATTGTTAATCGCGTCTGGTGCGTTACTTATAACTTAACCCCGGCGTTTCATGTCAGTCTTGATCACTAGTGGTTTCAGATGCACTATGTTAAGACTTAAGACTCGATTTACTTCTTTTAAATCATCCGTTTCGTTGCCGGTAATAACAAATAATTCTTGTACGTTGCAACATAAACGTGTAAGTACTAAGTAAGTGCTAAAGAAAATGGTGCGTGATAAGTGCCAAAAGTCTTTTAATTACGATTCAACCGCGAGCCTGTACTCCGGAATTGTTCACGTTCCGGGGCTGAGCCTAGATGAAAAAATGAATAACGTTAACGTGTTTAATCAGACCCAAGATTGCCCCTGTGCTAGTACTTTTATCATCACTGGTATAAAACACTTTTTACATCGAGAGTATTCTCTAAAAAACGGCCCGAGAAGAAAAGGAATACATACGATCAAGAGAAGTTATTGAAAAGCTCTCGTTGATTCGATATCATTGGAAAATTGATAGATCGCCCAGCGACCTTCACCGTCATGCCGTCGAAAATTACTTTCTTTGCTCGTTTTGTACTAATTTTCTTAACCGGTACCCATCCCCGAGTACTATTTAAGTAATCTTACTCATCGTCAATTAAATCTGTCGATCGGACCTCGACTTGTTTGACGAGAACAAAGGAAAACGTTGGCTCAGCCTCTTAAGACGCTTGCCGTCGTACGCGCTTCCGTTTATGCCGAATTAAATACGCGTTTTCTCTTCATCGATCAATTTTTCCGCGAAAATTATACTTCTGGCGAATCAATCAATTTCCGGACGACCGTCCGTCGCGTATTTTTTAGTAGCTTGAACGTTGCTTCCAATGACACGTAGAATTACCCCCGAGACGGAGATAAGATACAAAGGAGACCCCGAGCAGCGTCGACACGCCGATGTGTTCAGCTTTTTTTGCAGATTGGCATAGCTCGCCAATTTCCCAAGCAACAAGCGTTTAAGATGATATTAAACATTGAATTTCCCGTTTACTAGCTCGTTTCTTACGTTTCCCTTATTGCGCTCCGAACCTAGCAGGGTTGAAGTCTTTGTTGACGAACGAGAAGCCCTGGAACTCTTCTTGGTTTATGTAGCTCACTTCGTCCGGATTTTCGGGCGTTAACACCGGATCTTCTTTCGTGAATTCCGCGTCGAAGTTCATCACGTCCTTTTTGCTTTTCTAAACATCGAATGTGACAAATTGAGTCCGATGATAAAATTTGGTTTCATCGAATTATGTGGAACACTTACCGTTTTCGGTCTGATCGGTGGTTTCACTTTACGCGCCTCTAGTGCTTCCCAGTCGATGTCTTGGAAAAACGGATGCACCTTTATGGCGTTCTCGCCGCCGTTGGCCGCGACGCAGCCTAATCTCTTGGCAGGATTTTTAGTCATGAACCCTCTCAAAATAGACTCGGCCTCCTTGGAGATCCAAATCGGGTACAGTACGTTTTCTCGTAAGATCGATTCGAACAGATCGTCTTCGTTGTCAGCTTCGAACGGCGGCTGACCGGCCATCATCTCGTACATTAAAACGCCCAACGCCCACCAGTCCACGCTCGCGCCATACGGCAATTCTTGCAGAATCTCAGGCGCTATGTAATCGGGCGTGCCGCAGAACGTAGCGGTGGTCGTTTTCTCGTTGATGCCCTCCTTGCACATCCCGAAATCCGCCAATTTACAGTGACCTTCCGAGTCGAGTATTATATTGTCCAACTTGAGATCCCGGTAGATGATCTCGTGCTTGTGCAGAAATTGTAACGCGAGCGTCACCTCCGCCGCGTAGAATCGCGCCCTCGCCTCGTCGAACTTCCGTGCTCTTTGGATATGAAACATCAGATCACCTGAAAGAGAAGAACGAGATATCTATTTAACCACGAAAACCGATGAACTTTCTTACCGTTTATAAACGATTCTTACCGTTTATATTTATAAAATTACTCCTTACCTCCGTTCACGTATTCCATAACGAAAAACAATCGGTCGTTCGTTTGGAAGCAACTGTGTATGGCTGTGAGGAAGGGATGCTTCGCCGCTAGTGTTAAGATCCTCTTTTCTGTCATCGTGCAGTCCACGTCGTCGTCTTGTATGATTACGTCCTTCCTTAATATCTTCACGGCGTAAACCTCGTCCGGATTGCTTTTTCGTTCGACCAGCATCACTTTTCCGAAGCTTCCCTTGCCGAGGACTTTGATGAAATTAAAGTCCTCGATACCGAGTCTCCGAACCTCGTTCTCATTAGCAGGTACCGCGTTTTCCGTAGCGATAGCGGACGGCTCCTCGGAGCGGACCGGTTGCGCATTATCCGTTGGTAACGTATCCGTGACGGTTCCCGTCGTGGGCGTCTGACCAGACTGACAAGTGGTTGTTCTATAATTAATCTTTGGAGTCTTTGTCTGTTTGTCCGGCGATATATTCATTGCACTCAGGATCTCGCCCATAGCTTTAGTATTAATACCACAGTTGTTCGCCACGTTCTTCTGGCACCTCTTGTGAACATTTATGTTACAAACTGCGCAAACAAAATTCAATTTAGCCATTACATATCCCCGCGGCTGGACGCCGAACGTCGGTCGGATCGTTATACAGATTTACCTTCGCACTGTAAGCCTTGTCTAAATAAACCGTACAAGAGCGATCCGCAATGGTCGCAAAATGTGAATCGCTTGTAATTATGAACAACGAAACGATGTGGCATATCTATACTGAAGCGTGGACTTTCTGTATCTTGACTTGACTGAAAAAGAGACGTTCGTTAAAACAGTTCAAAGATGTGACACTTAGACAGAATCAGAAATACGTAGTAGATCGCTCTCTTACCTCGTCTCTCATGCCTGGACATTTTGTGATAACCAGTTTGTGACATCTCTTGTGAACTACGCAGGTACAAACTGAAACACAACGAAAGCTGATTGAATGTTTTCGTTTCTTTAACGTGAATCACATTCAGCGTAGCATGATCGTAAGCCGGCTGCATGCGTGATTAGACGCAGCGATTTGAAATGACAAGCATAAAGAAAATTTGGTGGATGTTGTGACAGTCTTGCTGTAGAACCAATATAAGCTAGAACACGGAAGACGAGAACGTAGACTCTGAGGATGCGATAGATAACGAAGCCATGAAGATCGGATCAATGATCTGTTACTCATTATGTTTGAAGACATGCAATGAGATATTTCCCCGATTTAACACGACTTTAAATTCGAGTCGACGTTATAATTAGCAATACGAATTCGATATATGTGTTACTGTATAAACCATTAATCGTTATCGAGTCTCGTTAAAGAAAGCGTAGAGCATGGGCTAAATCGGACACTCGATACACCTCGGATTCTAAATCGAATCGTATGAAAGTTTCACTGCCTCCTAAATGCATTGATTCCTTACAAAGTGGACTAAGTACACATACACACACCTAAATAAACTTATGTTCACACAAAGATAGAGCAAGCAAGTATATAATTATAATATTTGTTAATAACGTGTATGTGTCTTCTCACCTTGACACTGATAGCCCTGCTTGCCCAAGCCCCTGAAATACAACAGACAAAACACATCACATCATCTCTTTCTATGCCCTCGTAAAACACATACGTTTGCTTTCTTGGACTGTAGACCGTAATTAGATGATTATGCAAACCCTCCAAAGACTACTCCACCAGTTCTATTTATTTTTAATAATTCGACACTACTTTTCTTTATAAATACTGTTAAACACGCGAATGAGAGGAATGTGTTAAGTTTTAATCAAAGGGTACACGTAGTATACTCGCAAAACCAATGCATGCATCCTGTTTCTCAGTCGAGTTGAGTGTAAGAAAAAAATTGTTAGAAAACGATAATTTTTAGCACGCCTAACTAGTTATAATTTCCTTCCCTCCTCCAGACACAATACATTGTCTGCAAGTTCCTACATTGAAGAACATCGATTTGGACATTAAAAAAGTGTATAAGGAGAAATATTTCAGAGGTAGTATTTCGAAAGCCTATGCATATTCTTAGCAATATCGTAATATGTAGTAAAAAAAAACGAACCCAAACATGCCATTTGAAAATACCCAAAAACCTGGTATTATAATTTGGTGTGCACCGAAACGTGATCTAGTAGTCTTTTAAAACATGCACACCAAATTAACTGAGTACACAGTATCAGATACTTCGTACCGTGAAATGGTTGAAATTAGTAAATGTTTCGTGTTAGAGTATGCTCGTGAATTAGGTACCAAGCAATTAATGTCATTGCTACGGTTCTCGGTTGATGCCTACCATATAAATTCGCGGCAGTGAGAGCAGAAAGTTGGTTGTCTCAAGAAGGTTGCCATGAACTTGTGACCGTTCGCTTGATGGACCTTACGTCGCATAGCACCTCTCCTCCTGTTGAAGCCCTGCCTCTCTTTGAATTCCCTTCTGGGCTCCTTTCCAGAGGTAATGCTTCCACCATCTCTGATTCCTTCTCCATCACCTGTAGAACAGCTTGCTCGTTGATCTAAAATTTTATCGTGACAGTATAACATACTTGTGCCTCATCCAATTATTACCTGTTCCATTGCCTTGCTCGTTCCACTTCAAGTCTATCCTGACCCTTAACTTTCCCTGCGGCTCAAGATCAACCTAAAATCAATTTCATTTCACAAAATAACTCAAAATAATTCTAAGCGCAATGAATCTCGTACGCAGGATGTATGGTCGTGAGTGAAGTTTAAAAGTACTATTTTATCTAAAGAATATTACATTTCTGTAGCGGTTTCTTGGCATTTTAAAGAGACCAGATTTTCAACTAGTGAACGCCTTCAAACGCTTGAAACTTCTGTCACCTATCTTTCATTGACTCAATTACTATTTATATGTATAATCTTATCAGTCTACCTTGAATCATCTTCTAATGTCATAAAAAAATGTACACACAGATTACTCAGTGCTGTTCTACTGTACAAGACAACAACGTGGCAGGTAGAAGTCAGTCTTCGAGTCTTAATAAAAAATAGTCAAAAATGGGAATAGAGGATTAAACGTAATGTACATAAATGAGTAAGAGATTGAAAATTGAATTAAATAAGTCACTTTATTTTACGGTTTTAGTGAGAAACATAAAATTACAGAAAATAGGAAACGAGGGTATTGAAGGTACATAAATACAAACGTAAGCGCAGAAATTGAAAATCAGAGCAAATAAAGCGATTTCTTTATTTGACGGTTTTAGTAAGGAACATAATATTACAAAAATGCGAGTCAGGTGTTAAAATAAGCATGGTACGGGTGAAAGGTGAGAAAATAAAAGCGCGTAACTTCGTTTTGACAAACTTAACGAAGATAAATAAGAGGATGTGCAAGGAGGCAGCAACGGGGTTTCGGAACCAACCCAGAGATCCGCAGGCTTGTCGTTCCTGCTGATAAGTTCCTCGAAAGGTATGCTGCAATTGGCGACGAAATAATCCGGCGGCAGCGCGGCGTCGTGGAAGACAGTGAATCCTAGCATGACCGCGTCTTGAACCTCGTGGATGAAACATTCGTTCCACACCGGGTCGAACGTTTTCGGTTTGGTCGACGACCGGTCGAGGTGATTCTCGTCGACGTCCAGCTGGACGTACGGGTCGAGTATCGGTTCATCTTGCCAGAATTTACGTTGCTTGTCCGTTGCCCTCAGCCCTGCCGCCTGGCATATCTCGATCTTCACTGTCCCCGTGAACATCGCGGATCGCGAAGTTATCACGACACAACGGATTCGCGAACCACCGACGATAGGACAGCAAACGTACGAGAAGCCTGTCGACGGGCTATCACGCCTGTCGACGAGCTGACAACTCGGTAGCGTGCGACCAGGTTATCCTGAATCAGAGTAAAAACTACTCTAGTCAATTGTAGAACGCGTAACCCCGGGTCGAACTCTCGTGACCGACGAGAAGTATTTCTTCGATCGGAGGCAATCACCGTGAGATTCGATATGCGTATACATAAGTGTATGTGCGATGTGTATCAAAACACGGAAAAATGATTTCACAAATATCGCGCGCTGAATACGATCTTCCGTAGAAATGTGTGGCGCACCGCTTCAAATATCTCGACCAACGCGAGCCTCCTCGGCTCTCTCTTCTCTCCCTCTCGCTCTTTCACGCACACTCTGTTCTATACGCGTGTGCACGTAGTACGTATATACGTGTATCTTTCCTCTGTTCCTCGCTTTATCTCGTTTCCAAATTTCTCCCCCTTTTTTCTCTCTCTCTCTCTCCTCTCTTCTTCCTTTTGTCCTTTCCCTTTGTCACCGCCACCAGCACCGTGCAGTTATAAACACTCGGCTCCCTTCGCGTTCACACATAACAGAGACGGAAACGGAAGTAGAACCGATGACGGCTGCAGCAACAGAATCTGCTCGGGGACGGGAGGCGGATGCAAGACAAGCGTACCAGCGGCGACGAAGTTGTTTATTAAAAAACGGCCCGTTCGCGAATACAAGGCCAGTCCTTGTATCCCCGATCTCCTGAGAGCCATTAAGCTCCTCTTTCTTCTCTCGGATTTCTACCCTTCGAGTTCCTTTTTCCCCCACCCCGTTCGTGTCACTAAAACGTTACCGTGGACCACGCACCTCGTCACCGCGACGATCCTCGCCTCACCAATTTGATCGACGAATAATTACGGCGTACACCACGGATAAAGAGCACTCGTTTATCGTCCCTGAACAGCCCTGTCGACCCGAACCGCTCGATTGGTCACTCCGCGCTTCGTCTAAAGGGCGACTCGGTCTCGGCCTCGAATCCCGTTCGGCGAGCTTCGTGCTTTTCCGTTGAAAGCTCAGGCTGCATTTCCACCCGCATACCGTGCCGTTTATCCACTAAATTCGTAGCTCGTTCATCGGCATATTTCCCCGCGAACGGTTACGCGAGTACACCCAAAATAGAGCGTGATTAGAAGCGACGCTTGGTAGCGACGGCGCGAGCGAAGTTGATTAAATAATCGCCGGTAGCTACCGCAGTCACGCTGGGACTTGACTGCCCGAAGAGCTTGCGGAACAAGTAGAAACACTAGAATGATGCGTAGCCATCTGATTGGCGGAGGTCTGGCTAAAAAAAACGCTCCTCTACTTACTCACGCGCTCTCACGATATCCAGTCGTTTGCTGAAAGATCCAGAACGGTTTGGAGAGCTTTACGTATTTTCCACTAAACGGTAGCATCCTCCTTTCACCGTAAAAAACGCGATCGAACGTTGTTCTATATCTTGACAACGAGCGACGAGCGTAGGGATATGGATTTAGGGAAACAGGTCTACGACGGGGTAAACGGCTGGCCTCGAACTTAAAATAATTACCCAGACGCGCTAATAACCATAGCCGAGTCGTGTTAAAGGAATTCCCGGTATTTATTGAACTATAAGTATAAATAAACGAACACAGTATGAGTCTAATATTTACACCCATGATATATCATCGTACACTCAACGCAACGATATCCCCGCGTTCTCGTTCTCGAGCCAGGACGCTTCATCGATGAACGAGCGAGTACAGAGAGACGGGCGAGGACATTCGTTCTAAATAAGTACCTTAAATTATTCTTCGACGAGCGACCGAATTCATTTTTATATGTTTCCCGCCCTATCGCAGCTACGATACCAGCCTCCGTCTTGGAAATCGATATCACGTGACGACCAAGACGAACGAGGATCGTTCGCGATCTATTCGGTCGACCGTCGATTCTGGCAGTCGCGACGCATCTCGGTTTTTATTCCATGAATAAATATCGTATCGGAATTGTATGAGGGAGGGTCGTAACTACGATTTTTTATACCAGCGATCTACGCTCTGATCTATACGATCTACGTGGCGACGACCACGTCCGACGCGGACGGGCAACTTTGCGCCTCGGCTACGTCCTTCTTCTTCACTTCCTGCTCCAACCCCGATATCACATACACTGGTTGCTGGTACGCAAGGAAGTGCTGGTCCGTCGCCAGAGCCTTTGACGGGTCCTTCATCTTCATCTGAAACGAACGATTCATTTCTCTATCTCCGCGCGAAAAACGGGAATTACAAATCGGACGATGTACCGTACCTTCTTGCGATACAACATTAGCAGAATTAACAAACTGCTGATGACAAAAGCGCTGCCCGCTGCCAGAACCAGGGTCGCTGTCTGGTAAACGGGCGTTTCCACCTCCGTGAGTATCTCTCGTTGTTCCAGCGCCACGACTCTACTTTGCAGAGCGACCGGTGTCGACCTGTGCGTGAAACGCGAAGTGGTCGCATCTGCGAACGATCCCAATAGAGACAATTTCTGGATTCTAGTCAGCTCTTCCAAGTGGAACGCCACATCTACTTTGTTAGGTCCTATTATCTCGAAACTGAGTATAGCCGAGTCTTGATTGATCTCCACTCGTATATCGTTCTTCACTCGAGCGCCGAGATCGCGAAGGAGCTCTTCCGCTCGTCGAATGAACGTGATCTCGTCGTCGGCGAGGAATCGACCAGGGAAACGTAGAGTGACTTCGACAGCTTCCACCGGAGTTGGCACTAATAATAGTTATATCACAATATTAGATTTCATGGATATACTGCTAAAAAAACAAAATCTATATTCTATTTATACGGGGATATGCGATGAAAGAAAAGATCTTACGGCATATATTGGTTCCCTTGAGGAAAGGTTCGGAGCCGATAAGTTGATTGCCAGCCTCGTCGACGCACCAGCAAGTATCCCCGGCGCACTGGGTCGGCTCGAACCTGCCCTGGCGGTCGCAGATAGCCGGTACGTGGCCTTTGTCCTTCATCGCTTGGCACCTAGTGCCTAGCACCTTTCCAATCTGCTTCTCGTCGGTCTCCAAGTTTATCAAAGCGTTCTCCATGAACGCCTGAATTTCACGGTCGATTTCTTGCACCGGCGGCCCTCTGCCACCTCGCCTCGCCTGTCTGAAGTTACACTTCGGCTCCGGGCCTCTCGTCAGCGAACCTTTCACCGGTTGACCCTTTCTATTGACACACCAACAGACACCGACGTGCTCCAGACACTGAACGGGCTCCCACATGCCGTTCTCCGGGTCGCATCTTGGTAGAAACGTCGGCTGCTTCAGCCTTTGGGAAGTCTTCAGATTCTTCTCTCTGAGCCGTTCGCATTGCGACAGCACAGGGCATACGGTGTCGCATACTAGACGGCTGGAGAAATCGTTGTGGCCCAGGGTGCACTCGGTCTTTATTCTGCATTCGTTTCGTTCCGAGTCGAAGTACCATCTTTCCGTCGCGTTCAGTCCTAATCCTAAGTTGCATGGTACTCTCCGCGGTGGTTCGAAGCAAACTTCTCGGGGTTTTGGGCAGCAGACGGCGTACTCGTTCAACGGAGACAGTTCGCATTTGTGGGTCGACGGACAGTGTTGACCGTGGGGACCACAGGTAGCCGGAGAACCGTTTTGATCTAAGAGAGGAGATCCGTTCGGGCAAGGATTATCCTTCTTGGGTAAACAGACCGGCACAGGCGGGCAGGGTGGCACGCTACAGGCCACCTCGACCATTCTGCAAGCTTCGTTCTCCCCGCGACAAGTCACGCTCTTGCAAGGATCCCGACAGGAACAAGTTGGACAGCCGCTGTCGAGGTTCAATTCAAACCCGTCGGGACAGTCGAGCTTGCAATCGATCTCCGGACATCTGAGAGGCGTGTTGCACTTTGGTACGACCCCCTCGAGGACGCGGGTGCCCGCAGCCTCTCTGCCTTCTTCGTCCACGCACCAACACATCCCGTTGTGACACTGTACGGGTTCGAACGATCCGCTGGCGTCGCATCTGGGAATGTAAATGCGCCTAGCCGGTTCTCCAGATTCCCGGGCCGCGTGCTCAGCAACCGCGCGAGAGTGCTGACAAGCAGTAGCCATCACCGGTGCCACGCACTGCGTCCCGCAACCTGTGGAACAGCACTTTTCCGATGCCGAGCATTCTTGATCGTTACTGCATTGCAACTCGCAGCTGGACGAACTCGGTACCTGTAAAAGTGCGAAGGTAGTCGATCATCTTGACTCGACTTTTGATTTTGAACCATGTAAATGTCCCGTACGTACCAGATACGGGCATTGACCCGGTTTCAAGGCCAGGCAGGCTGGAACTGCGGGACAGTATTGCCCCGTTCCACAATTCACATCGATCATCGTGCACGTCTCGTTAGAATCGCAAGTTACATCTTTGCAGGGATCGTGACAGCGACACTGCTCGCATCCGGTCGCGTCCACCTCGTAGCCGTAAGGGCAAACCAAGTCGCAGGACAGCGTTCCGCACAGTTTCAATAGATCGTTTATCTGCTTGCAATCGGTGTTGCGATTCACGCCGGTTTTCAGTACCACCCCGCGATCGTTCACGCAAAAGCAAGTGCCGTTGTTGCACTGCAAGGTTTTGTAACTGCCATCCTCCTCGCATTCGGGCGGTGGAATTGCCAATGACATGTTCTCCCTCGTTCCCTCCATCCTCTCGTTGAATTCTCTCAAGTACTCGCACACTAGAATAATTTAAAAACGTTATCTATCGTAAACGTCAACCGCAATCATTATCTTTGAAGATAAGTCGCTCTTATATTTTTGTATTACTTGTTTGCGGTTTCGTGAAATTAGCTGACGTCATACAGCAGACCGATTGGCCAGCTTCCGGTACTGCGGTGCACTTGTATCCTTGAGGACATGTGTCGTTCTCGGAACACGTTACCGCGTTTCGTTCATCGTCGATTAGGGGAGTACCATGAGCGCAGGGACTTTTGTAAGCTTTTTTCGCTCGGCACTCCGGTCTCGTTGGACACAAGAAGTCCGGGCATCCGTCTTCGCGATGTAACACACATGCTTCCCCTTCCGGGCACGGGAAGCTGAATACGATGATATTCATAATTATTGCATCCTGCATGAATTTCATTTTTCTACCTACCCTTCGCATGGGTTGTCGCATTCGCAAGTCGGACAGCCGGAAGCGTCGGTTTTAAATCCGTATTGGCAAACTTGAGCGCACTGTTGAGAAACGCAGGACGCCGGAAGGGACCTCCCCTTCGTTATCGATTTACAATCGACTTTCTCCGCCGGTCCCATCGTCCCAGATATCTTTCTACCGTTGTTATCCACGCACCAGCAAACCAGACCGTTCCTCGAACACTGCCTGCTCTCGTAGCCTCCGTCTGTAATGCAATTTTTATCGTGCACAATTCTGATACATTGACGATTTTCTTCGTGGAAAAATAATTGGACTCTCCGATTTCTCTTTTAAAAGCTAAGATCCTTCAGATGGAAATGCAGGTCTATCATATAAAAGTGCTTGAAATATCAGCAGGAAAATACGTAAGTGATATTTAAAGGGAACTATCTGAAAAATTCCGTATAAAAACTTTTCTCTATTTCCCGTAACTTATGAAATAAAGAACTATCCACTGTTTCGTGAGACACCCTGTATACAATGCAAGAATAATTGCATTGAGAAATTATGCAATAATCTGTAAAATCTTACCATCGGTGCATTGAGGAACGTATCCGCGACCCTGTCTCTCGGAAATGCTTAGCATCTCCGCCAATACTTTGTCCCTGTGACAAGCGCTTAAACCCTGCGGCACGGAACAAACGCCGCCGCCGCCGCATTTCTCGCTCCTGCAACATTTCTGCGGTCCGGGACACTCCAAGTCGTGCTGGCAGGAATTCCCGCAGATCACCGGTTCCTCTAACGGACACGTGCCGGGTCTCTTCAAATTGATGCTGGACGGACAGCAGACACCGTATTCCTGCTTCGGCTCCACCAAACAGCTGTACATCGGTGGACAGGTAGGCTTCCCGGGAGAGTCGCCGCAAAGGAATGGCCTCGGCGAGTCGGTAATTTGCAACGGCTCGCCGGCAGGACATATCGTCGACAGGGACTTCGCTTTGCGACAGCTGGGAATCGGCGGGCACGGTGGACGGGTGCACGATACATCGATCAACTCGCACGTTTGACTGGTCCCAGGACAGGCGATACCGCGGCAAGGATCACGGCACTCGCATTTCGGGCACCCGGTTTTCGCCTCGATCTGCACGTAAAAGTGATTAATTAACAGCTGCGAGGACCTGAAGTTTCGGTTCGGAGAGAGATCGTTAGCTTGAACGTCTATCGTTCTCACGACGAGGAAATACAGAGAATTGTAATTCATTCTTCGAATGAATTCGTTTGATATTTTGCCAGATCGATACAGTGGCATCTTAGAGAAACAGATTTTTATTCATTCTTTTGTAAAATTATTCATAAAATTCACAAAAGGAACGAGTACAAAATTCATCTGATGTATGATAAGAAAATGAATAGAGTACACGGGATGGATAAAAAAAGTAGATATTCGCGAACATAATTAAAAATACCTCGAAACCAAGTGGACAGAACATTCTGCAGCTGTGAGCCGGGCATGGTCGAGGATTGTCACAATCGATGACATCTTTAGAAGATCCTCTGGTCCCAGGAACCTCAGCGCCGATATCGTCCACGCACCAGCAACTGTTGTTCCGCGGATGACATTGTATCCTCTCGAATTCGCCGGTCTCGTTGTTACACTTCGGTATGAACTGCGACGGTCCACGTGGACCGAGCGCTCGAGACCTCCTCACCGCGGCAAGAGCCAGCTGCTCGCATCCCGTCAGTTCGCCGATAATGCATTTCGTGCCGCAGGCGGTTTTGCAACAACGTTCACCGGGTGCCTTACACTGGAAGTCGTTCTCGCAACTCGGTGCCCTCGCCGGGCATACATTCTGCTCCTCGAAGGTTGGGCATCGACCTACCGCTTTTAACGGTGGCTCTACGACAGGACAGTTGGAGAACATTATGCAACAGCGATATTTATTAATTTCAACAACTGACATGATCACCCTTGGACGCAAACTTGGGATCAAGCGACGCTCTCCCAGCGAGGAATGCTAAAGAAGAGGCGCACCTTGACACGAATTCGCTCGAGCGTGACGGAGGGAATATTCGGTCGGTGTAAAGAATCGTCACTTCGGACGACGATTTTATGGGTCAGAAACATCGGTTGCGATCTCGGGGAACCGTGGCGTCGCTTTCGTTCTCGTGGCCCGAAGTGTATCGCGACGATAATAATAATAAAAATAGCCGGAGTCGGGGCTAACGGTTCCTCGCATCCTACTGCCACACTTACTACTCGCTCGCCTAACGTGCCACGGCCACGTTTCCACTGGATACGTAACGAGTCACGGAGAGACGTTACCCCGGCCTCTTCGGCCGTAGGCGGAGTAAGGGAAAAACGAACAAAAGCGTGGACGACAGCCACCGGGATTCGTATACGATGCAGCCTGCTGCAAGTTACACGGCAAGTGCCCCCGGTCACGAGACCTTTTTCTCGTTTAGGCTCGTCCGAGTGCTCGGTGCACATGCTTCATTGATGATACGGCTTCCGCTGCCAGATGTTTCGAGACGTTTTAGCGGTAAACGGTAAAGTTTCGAGCATGCACTGAAGTACATTTTATAGTACAAGACGCATAGCAGAGTGGAATATACGGTATCGGATGCGATATATTTATACAGCTTGACTTTTGAATAATTACGTCGACATGAACTCCAGGGTGGAGTTACGGTTTGGATACAGTGTTGATACTGTGAACCAGTAGGGTAATTCGAGAATAGCGAGACGCAAGCTGGGAAACCTGCATAATTGCATGCAAATTGTACAGTCAGAATAATGATAAAGAATGATCACGTACATTTGGTGAAAAAACTTTCTCAGAACTTTCTTTCGAGGAAAGTATATGACGATTGATTTGAGTCACTTCGTGAATCATTGTGAATCGAAAATTAGGTCCCTGAGTATTCTAAAGAGCAGAATAGACTTTTTGCTCTACGTACTCTTACACCGTTAAAGATTTCATAAAAGTCTAGCGAAACCTCTACTACGTCCGATTACCCGAATTTCCGGTTCGTTGACCATCGTCCTCTTTCTATACCCGCCTTTCTCGCTCTATTACAGCCGCTCCATGTTAATCCACAGTGCAACGCATGAGTTTCTCTGTTAGAACAGACATGCGATCGAATATTAGGTCCAGTCGAATTCATTTCTGGCTTATTCGAGTCAGATACAAAAGTGACACGTCCTACTTTATCCTAATCACTCTCTACGCGCTCGTATCGACCTCGAATTTTTAATTAACATCGTACCCTACAAATTTAACAATTGGAGCGAATCTGAATACATTATAATAATCGTTTCTGGTGTGTAAACACACCGTAGATTCCTTTCACTGACACCACCTACGACGAGATCATAAAATTTTGTTAAACCAAACGGATCTTCGTTGGAAACCAATTGTTAAAAGATACGTTTAATAAACAAAAGTGTTTAAACGACATATTCGAATGAACAGAAGGTAAAGAGACGCCGGGGAGGGAGAATGTCAAAGACCCTGAGGGAGAGAAAGAAACGCGCACAAAGCGACGAAGAGAAAATGTGTACATAGAGAAGAGACGTGTAAAGCCGGACACATCGACGGGACGGTGGAATGCGGAGTGAAACGTATTTTAACGGTGCGAGAGAAATTCAATTTGTCATTGGCCACACACACAGACACACACATGCAAAGCGCCCACGGGTCCGCCCGCTTAAAGGGTTAAATTTAATAACAGCTAACTCCACCGTTGGAAATTCTATTCACGGACGACGAAAAATAAATAAAAACTTTTCTCTCCCTTCCGATATCATAAACGTCAGTCCCGCAACTAACTTGCATAATTTGCAAGTCGCGTAAGGCTATTACAGGATTAACGTTAATTCGATAACGGCCCTCGGACGGTACGAAGGCTCGTGCGAAAATAATAATGATATAGTCGTTATAATTATTCACTGAAGTTACTTCGGTATTCTCCTGTAACACTTTATGAATCGATCGCAGGCAGTCGCCATGACCGCCGCCGTCGCCTCGCAATTTAACCTGGTAATTAACGTCTCGTTAAGTGGCATCGTTCATCCGGCGGACGCGCCGCGGTACACCGGTTTATAATCCTTGGCAAATAATTAACTCATCGATTAAAGAGATATTTTATCTGTACTTTCGGTCGACGTATCCGTGCCAAAAGGCATTCATAGTGCAAAGAAACGGATCTGTGATCTTTTATTACTCGTAGGAAATACGAAAACCGTCCTGGACCTTTGAATCTCTTCTACTCTACGAAGAAGTATAAAGTACCATTCTGAATAAAAAGCGACTCGAAAGATATTCACGCAACGTGCCCGCGATGCTTTACTACTTCTTATTCCTCTCAAATTTTCAAATCATTCATGAATTTTTCATAACGCCGTCATTTCCTGTACTATTATCGGTTATATATGTATGTATAAAATAATTCGCTATTTCTCTCGGTTTTTGGGAACGCGAATCAGCCGTTCAGGTATGGGCTATGTAATTAGTCGAGGGTTTATTTATACGACAGGGCTACCTTTCGGACATCAATCAGCCTATAGGCGTTCGGTGACGCGACGCCTTGCAATCGTCCCCGAATTTTTCTTCTTTAATCGTTTTTTATACTTATCTTTTGAAACAAAATCATTTATACGAAAGAAAAAAATCGTGGAATGATAAGAAGGATCGAAGTATCTCCGAAGTCGACTGCTTGGCTTTTCTCGCGCACCGATTTTTCGCAACATCAAGGACGAATCTGTTGTCGAGGACGCTTTTCGAAATCCGATCACGTCTGCGCCGTCGCATTATATGCAGATGCACGCCCGTTTCGAGAGCTTGCTTTCCGCTTTTTTCCTCTCTCTCTCTTTTTCCCCTGCCTCAACCCTGCACGTCGTCCCACGCCTCGTTGGCCGAACGTGAACACGAGACCGGGACTCTATTGTTTGCTAATGGCCGCTCTTTCAATAATTCGGGACCAATCATTACGGGCGAGCGAACCGCGGGGCGAAACGGCGGAAATCGTTGGAAATAAAAAAAAAAATAGAATAAAACTACGTGACGCATCGTGCCGTTCCGGGGAGAAGACAGACGTTACCTGCTGTGACCGACGACGACAAGGATAGCAGCCAGCAGGTCGATGACACCCACACAACGGCGCAGGCAAGCCCACCGTTGCAGAAATCACGGCGCATCCTCAGCGCATCAAGTGATTTTTTAATCGGCCGCTATGTGTGTCTGAAATTAGAGGAGGAAAAATATACATACACGTACCCTCGCTACACACGTCGCGGTTCGATCGATATATCGAAAAACTGCACGGGTTATATGAATATAATGAACGTGATAATGAAACAGTATTGACGTACGCGGTTGAAAAATGTCGAGATTGAAAATTCTTTCTCGTTCAATTTAACGATCAGACATTTCGTTTTTTAATTTTTATTAAAATGATCCAAGTTCTGAATCAGCCACGTAACACGCTGTTAATGATTGAGAAAGTAGATAGAATTTAATTCAATTTATTCAGCCATCGATGAAAAGCGTTTCACCGGCGTCCGTATCAACTTTTAATGGGGAGTTTTATGCACTCATCGTTTATGAAACGTTAAACAGAGTAATTTCATAGTCATAAGGAGAATACATTAATCTTCTTTTTATCGTAAATTGCCAATCAGGCGACGCTCCATGCTTAGCAAAATTTTCGCATATAAATGTAACGAGCTTCGTAAAACTTCTCGATCCTAGAATTCGTTTTCGGATCAGGGTCAAACAGCTAGGTATCTAATCGTAGATGGGTAGTAACCGAAAGAGGTTGAGGTCGAGAGCGACGAAATAATTAAATCGGTCCTTCGAACGCGTTCCACCGAGAGAAAGTTGCCGCGCGTGACGGAATCAAGATCCGAAGTACATAACACATTTCTGTTTCCTTTTCCGCGTCGAACCCGCTATTAAACTTCCTTCAAGTTGAGCTTTACCTTTACCAGGCCAATAAAGCCAAGATTATAGATACGTAATGGAAAAAGTTTCCACTGAAAACCGAAAGAACCCGAACCAACAACCAGACTGCTTCTCATTTCTCTTTCAAGTGGTTCCTCGATATTAAAAGAAAAATTGCTTCGCGATCTAAGAAAAATCAGTGAAGTTTGTCTACATATACCTTTAATAAAACTCGAGGGGTCACAGTGGAGCGCTAATTACATGAAAATGCTCTTATATGAACACGTTTGTCCTCAATTAGTTCATATAATAGAGGTTTTATCGCACAACGATTCCAACACAAGGGATGCTCAATTCGTTCGAAGGATACGAGTTAATAAAATGTTTCTAGTTGAAACGTATTTTTAATCGAGATCAAATTATAATTCATCTAACGAGCAAATGTGAGCCGGAGTGGATGAAAAAGCTGTCTCGGCTTGCAATTAATTTCGCAGTTCAAGAACGTCGACCCGTTTCGTTGTTTCTCTCGGCCCCTAATAGGCGGGCGGAAAATAATCTTTTAATTCTACCGAGCGAGTTAAGTGCTACTCTCGCGGAAATATTTCGCGGTGCAAAGTCGTCACGAGGACGCGAGGCGACGCGGCACAACTTTAGGGGATTCTCCTCTTTAAAAGGAGGAATAACAATGGAAGTTACGTCTCCTTATTCGTTATGCCGCGCCGCGGAGAATATTCTAATGCGTCCCCCTCCGTTATTCATGAGTCGGAGTCGGGTTCGGGATCTACGAATTGCCGGAACGTTTTCGTTTCTTTTTCGCCTCCCTTTGTTCCTCGTTACAACTTCGACGCCGGCGACGGGTTTCTTTTCTCATCCTCCTCGCGCTTCGAACTCCCAGACCGCTCCGGCACACGGATATATTTTCATTGTAGCCATCGTCCCAGCGCATGGTAAAAAGATGATTAAAGGTAAAAAAAAGATCCTTTCCCGTCTTTTGTATCACGAATCTTTCTTTTTCTTCTGTGGTCTCTTCGATGTACACAAGTTCCATTACAGACTAACTCGATTGAAAGATTATAGCAGGACTGGGCATATTTTATTTGAGAAACAAAATTTGATAAAATAATTCGTTTGAACAGTGCCTGAATTATAGTAAACGATTAAATAAATAAAGACTGTAATCTGTGATTAAACGTATTTAATACTCGAGATAGTGCGAAACATCGCGTAACGCATCTGATTCGTTGCTACTTGCTTCCAGCGATGTGTACTCTTTATTAAATCTCCTCGAATCTCAGCTCAGGCTCTTACATTAATTCCGCGCGGTCTCCTACCACCAGCGTGTTTTGCTTTAATCTCAAATTTAAACGAGCCACTCCCTTTTAATAACGACACGGAAGTCCGTTAGAATTTTTCAAGAAAATCCAATTTAAGCCCATACTACTTGGAACTTGCTTCACTCTTATTTTCCTGATATCACACGTTATATATTTTTTTTAATTCCATTTAGATTTCCCTTTCTTTGTCTACTGAACAATTACTTTTTTGTGGTTGCGTTATTGCTGTCGAGTGTTGTAACAGCACGAAGGTCAGGTAATAACGTAGAATATGAAAGGGTTTTATGGGTGTTATTTTGGGTACTCGTACAACGACACCGGGCCCGTTCGACGTTAAAATTACCGCCGGTTACATCCTTTGGGAAGCCTTTGAATTTAGGGTGTGTATCCCAGCCGTATGAATAATGCATCGGGAAAGAGAGCGTAACTACGTCCCTCCTGCAAAGTTCTGGTAATTACATCGATGATCACGTTAAGATTACGCCCGGAACGATCATCGGCGTCGCGTAAAAAATTCTAATTATATCGAGGAAAAAAAGTATGTAACAATTTAAGTCACGAAATTGCTTGTTATCCGAAATTACGGTGTTACATCGGCGGCCACCATCGAAATTACGTGACGACGATCCGCAAGCTGGTCTCGATTATGACCGGCGACGGCGATTGTGAAACTGGATTAAAGTTGAGAAAGAGTTTTCTTCTCGGTCGAATTCGCTTCGACGATCCTGTAACTTGCATCGCATTGCCGGCAGGGATAATCGAGAAAGTATGAAGGTATCGTCGTGGCTCGAAAATTACTTTCCAAGTATTAGAAACCGTGTGCTAATAAATCAGTCAAGTGTCAGCGAGTTTTCACTGTGCAAATATCTGGATAAGGGAACGAGGGGAATACGCAGAATGCATAAAGTCGGCATAAATTATACTACACTTCCGAGGATATAAATACGTGATTCGACACGATCAGTTTGCATTATATTATACATATTGTATGCATACGGAATGAATTGGTTTTGAAAAGAACGGATCTTTGCGATTTTCCAAGAGGACGATCCGGTCTGATGGAAAATAAAAATGCCACGTGCATTCTTCCCTTTGGCTCTGTGCGCTTCGGACGCGTCAAAGGAAGGTCCATATCCTGGGAAGATTGGCCGCTCTCTCAAGGCTAATGCAGAGACACAGGATGTGGGTCAGTTCGTCATCGGAGTTCCTTCCGGGTCGAGCTCTCGGGCTTAAACTTTCTATTATCGTGCACACGCACGTGGGACCCGAACCGTGCGTCATCGGTGGAACACTTTCGTGGAGAGGCACTTTTAAATGAGTTCCAGGCTGGGTCTCTTCCTTGGGTCATCGCCCGATGAAAATCGTGAATGAGCTAACGCGGATGGTCGGGCGCGCACGCACGCAAACTGGAATCGACCGGTGGACCACTTGAAAAAGAGAACAAAAAAGGAATCCACCGGTTCGATTGCATCCTCGTCGATAAGTAGCTCAGTGGTACGGAGCATTGCCACGACGAAAATAGAAAGTGCCGTGAAACGTTTATATCATCGGTATAATATCGCGGCGTGGCCGTTATAGATCATCGCTTCGCGTTCCGTCCACGTCCTGCGTTTACGACTTCCCACATTTTCTTTCCTCTCTCCCAAATTTCCTGCCATTTCTCTCTGTAGAAAGCGCAGCCACGTTCCTCTCGAACGATCCATTGTAACGAGCATAACGAACGGTGAAAGATCGATGAAGGAAGTACTGAGAACGTCTCGTTTATTATTGATAATACTACTATCCCTTGTTCCGATGAAACGCGACGAGCACTGGCAAGAGATACATATACATATATATGTATACACGTGTAACTGCGTGTGCAAAGATAGAACTTCCAATTACTTCACTCGATATTGTAAGAATCGAAAGCGTACGTCTAATTGGAGTGACACTCGGCAGTAATCAAGATAATAAGAACTCGCAATCAGCAAGAGGTTCGAAGTTCGGTGAATGGGAGCAGGCGAGTATAATTCCGCCCCAATTAACGGAGTTCTGCTCGCTACCCGTGACACAATGACGGCACCACCGAACTTACCGATTTTATTTCAACAGCGACGTTCCGTCGCGCGTTCGATTCCAGTCAGACAATGACGAGCCATCACCCTCTCGTAACGGAAGTGCACATGGCACACAATGCTCCGGGCGGCGATATTCCGCGCCATTAAGAACCGCACCGCGTACGTTTCCTGCTCTTTCACGAGAAACAACTTTCCACTTTAGCTTCTCGTTGCCCCGAAATGTTACGCGCCGACCGTCGAACCTTTGCACCCGCGCGTGCTTTTCGCAAGACATTCGATGTGCCAACGAGCAGGTGTAATAAGTACCTACGTGCACGTTAGGTGTGTACGCGTTTTCTCATCGCGACGTAATCGTGTCACGCTGTCATTGTCTCTTCCGCCGAGGGAACTGTTTCAAAGCTTCGATCCGTGCATTAAACGGAAACCACGCTCGTTCCATTTAGAGCAGGGCTTAAAAAGAATTAAAAGCTCGAGCGGATTCGCATGCCCGGAGATAAGTTAATGGACTCGTTTCGGGGTCTTTTTTTCGAATCTACTTCTCTGTCACTTTCTCTGCAAACAATTTCTCGAAATAGGATTCGAAAGCGAAGAATTTACTTTGTGATTTAACCGAGTTCCTTTCGTTTTTATAGTTTCACGTCGATTTTATTTGGCTTGCCGTTTTCGACACCCAGAAACCGTCATTGTAAGGTCTCTCGGGTGTACGTCGCGCGGAATTAATAATCGAAAACCATCGTCGAATAGATTGCACATGAAGCAAGAGACTGTTTGCTTTTTAAGGATGTATTGGCTATACAGTCAATCCCAAAAGTTTATACACTTTAGAAACGCATTTTTTAAAAAGAAATCAGATTTCGGAAGAACATTGCTAATAATAAACAACAAAAAAAAATTTTCGATTTTT